CTGAATACCAGTATAGTGCTATAATGAACCCACATCATAATGAATGATATCTTGATGCTTTTGATAGTTGGAAGCCGATCGTCGTTCATTAATAGATGCCTACATTCTGGAAGCCGTTGAACTTGATTTGGACAAAAAGGAGGAAAAGACATATGATGAAACTACTGATAGACTTGCCGTTTATCCAGAGTATTATGTAAAACCTGTTCGAACTTGCAATTGACTGGTTCTATTGATTACATCATCGCTAACAGGAAGGAACAGGTTGTCGGTAAGTATGTCATATATTATTTGTGCTAAGACACAGAATTATTTCTGATTGTCTTTCAGATAAGTTGAAGTAAGGAACAAGTATTGTGGCATCGCCTACATTTTGCACTATTGAGGCAAAAAGAGATGAAGCGTTCTCTGCGGGTGAAGGAGAAGCATTGGGACAAATGCTGGCTCTCCGCCAAAAATGCAGGTCTGTTCATCATTTAAAATAAAGTTCTAATTTCTAGTTTCTTCACTAACGATATGGCCTTGTAGATCTCCAATCCATGGCTGCTTGACAGATGGAATGCGTTGGACATTCTACTATTACTATGTTGATGAGGAATTACTACCAAAGCAAGATTTATACCGCTGAACTAGAACAGGGTGTAGTCTTTGGTATTTTGCAACATTGGGTTCGTGGCCAACTGCCTTCTTCAAACCTCTCAAAAGGAACAATATAATAATAAGTTTAGAGGCTGTTATAGTTAATATTAATGCTGATGGTACTGAACTAGACTTTTGGAAAAGTTTAAATGGAGTAATCTGTGCTGATACAATAAGTGATGAAATTATTTACTCAATGCTTACAGACTTTGAGAGTAGTAGTAGAATCAACATAAACAGGGAGCTTGAAACCAAACAGATTTCATGGCCTTCTTATATAAAATAAACCATACACAATGGATAGGGCACAAGATTGCCCTTTTTAATTGATGAGTTTGATATAATATTGGGGCTCCAAAATTTCGGGATAACTTTCTACAGATACTATGGAACATCAGGGACCACCATGAAAACCATATTGTTCCATTGATTGTGGCTATGGAAACTTTCAGAATATTGCATGCCAACTCAGTAAATCCTTATATTTCACCCTTCAACATCAAAACACATCTTGATAACCCCAACTTTAGCAAACAGCAAGTCCAAGCTCGTTTTGATGAATTTGCAAAAGTCTTGATGATCAAACTGGAACAGGCAATTATTGATGATATCTATTTACAAACCAATGGGTAAGTTCTGTGATTAGAATGATCATACAAGTAAAATTTGCTGATAATATATCTTTGTAAAACATTTTTCAATAGGCATGCAGGGTTGGTTGCCATGCTATTCAAAACCACTTGATAAAGAAAATTGATTATTACAGAAATCTGGATTATGCAACTCAGCAAGCTTTTGTGTTCAGTCATTGCAGCATGAAGTTAAAAGCTATGCCACCTATTACTATCATAGGATATAAAGTCTGGGAGAAAATCTGAAAGCTGTGATGCTTTTATGGTCACAATTTCTATCAAATCCTGGCCAAATTGAGATTACTAATAAAGGTGATGAAAGTACAGCTCAGCTTCTAGCTCAGGAAGGTCATCTTGTTGCCTTATATGTAGGAGATCAGTAACTATCTCTTAACTCCTTCAAAATCTGTTCCTTGTTCAATATAGCTCAGCAATAATTCCACACTAGTAAGGGCTTGGTCAAGGGCAATAATAATTTTCAACTAAACTCCAGCGTTTCAAATTCTTCTTGGGAAGGGGGGGTTTGGTACTTCTGGGGAATGTGTTTGATCGTAGACATGTGTTCTTCATTATCGTCCAATACCTCTAATACTAAACCATGATGTTTACCGGCTGACATGGCTCCTTTTTCTGTTATTGGATTGATGGCTCACATCAGTAAGCTGGTAATTTCAAAAAAAAAAATTTTTTCGCGATGACCCAACGTGCTATGACAATACTCAAAACCCAACAGTCCCTCTTCGTGATAAGACCGCCATATTCTACTAGTTGGTATATTACACATACCATTCAACGGGCTGCCGCCACCTCAACGCGGTGAGTGGGTGACAACGTGCAACATATCGGCGAGTATTCCACGAGCAATAGCGTATGCATTATGCATGCTGTGTATGAGTTACGCATGTGGCGAGTTTACTTTTGGCATGCGACAAATTTCCTTTCGCCATGAAATAATCAGGAAAATCCCACAATTTAGTCAGAAGCATGCAAATACATTATTATCATATTGTGTTATCTCAACATATATATAAATGGTGGTTGAATACTCATGAAATAAAACCTATTACTGTTACGAAGAAATTTTGTTAGCTGTAAAGTGCGCTGTGGTAATATCGTATACTATTATTGATTCACAGGAATAATTGCTAAATTGAAATGAATTTTTGTTAGCGATAATGCAAAAGCGGTTGGCTTTTAATCTTCTCTTCGATGTTTGCGCTTGTTATTAGACTCACGTTTAATAACGTTCTTGCTGACTATTTACAATAAATTAGATTACATGACACGCCTCATTGTAAATGCACATGCAGTTTCCAAACTCCAATATGATTTCTCCTACTATACATTATCGTCTATTAGTAGATAATCAACGCGTACGATATGCGTGAGTTGAAATTGAAAATACTTTGTGTATAAAGTGCATGATTTATAGTTGGATGTTTCCGGTCAATGTCCTTTGCTTTAGACGTTTTATTATCATTGGCTTCAATCTAGCAAATTTTTCCGACACATTAGTGAATAAAAATTACAGAACAATCGGCCTTTCCGTGCGCATCCCGAGACATATAGTCTAGATCTCTTATTTCAATTTGTGACAAGCGAGCACGACGAAAATCAGACCAACGTTACGAATAAGATGGAGATTTATATGGGGCTCGGATATTCGCCAGTTGTCCACAGAATTACCTCCCATGGTCCATATATAGGAAAATCTGGAAATTTGCCCACACATGACTCTGTACAACACCAGTACTCTCCCTTTTATGCTTACTATGGCAATACATCCTTTTCTTCCATAACTGGGTTGCTGCAGAACAGTCAATAGAACGTGGAAGGGGCACAGAATTTACCAAGACAATTTACCAAGTCTGAGGGGTGTTACACAAATCATAGTAATAGCGAACAAATAATGTGGCGTTAGTACCCCTGAAATCCATTTGCAGGCGCGCTCAACGCATAATACGGTAATATACGAACAGGTCTTTTTCTCCCTTTTAGTGTTCGTTTGCTAACATGTCTTTTCTTACAAAAGATCAACTAGGTAAGCGATCATCAAATCGCCCTCCGCTTATACCAGACAAACAATCTGATGTTTCATGATTAATCTTTTTATTCTTCATATAGATCAATATCTAAAGAACCTGACCATCAAAAATAACAACACTAGCACTAGCACTAGCACTAGCACTAACAAAAGCGTAGTCTCTGAATCCACTCCCACTATAAGATCCTTGAAAGAAACTCTTTCAAGCCCACATAGATTCCCTCAACCAACAAATACCTCGTCCCCTCCCGTTAGCGAGACTCAACCTTCTCCAAATTCTTCAATAAATGTGCCCGAAACGTCACTTTCAGAAACACTGAACACTACGTCTACACCCACTGCTGCCTTTTCGTCTTCGTCTTCCTCTATTCTACCTCCCTCTTCTCCAAAGTCCGCACCCGCACCCGCACCCTCACCCTTACCCCCACCATCAAAAGTTCCAGAGCCGTCATCTATCTCTGTACCGACGTCGTCACCCAATCCCACACTTATTCCCAGTGGATCTTCAACACAGCCTCAAAATCGACTTCAATCTGCTGACGATAAATCCTCTGTCGATAAATCCGCCGACAATAAACCTGACAATAAATCCTCTGACAATAAATTCGCTGGCAATAAATCTACTGACGATAGATCCCAGATTATCCCCACCATCATATCTCGAAACTGTGCTGCATGCAATCAACCGGTCTCTGGGAATGTATTATCTGCTATGGGCAAGCAGTGGCACCCGCATCATTTTGTTTGTAAGCATTGTGGGATATCACTAGAACATGTGGCATTTTTCGAGAAGAGTGGGGAACCGTATTGTCATCTCGATTTCCACGAGTTGTTTAGTCCTCGTTGTGGACATTGTAATACACCCATCGAAGGGGTAAGTTTGGAAACGAGTAGAGAACATGTGGCATGAAGTGATTGGTCAAGGCGCTTAATATTCACTCGTTATCTTTTACGATAGGCTATAATAAACGCACTTGGTAAATCATGGCATCCGGGACATTTCTTTTGCCGTGAATGTGGGGACCCGTTTGGGCCTGCAGGATTTATGGTTCATGATGGATTTCCGTATTGTGAAAAAGACTGGTCAGAGAAGTTTGGTATGTGAATCAATGATGGCTGTGATTGCGATATTTTGTTATCGGAATGGTGCATTAGCTGATACGTTGTTGTTTTACAGCTCCCAAATGTAAAGGCTGTCAGAAACCAATTAAAGGGGAAATAATGACTGCTCTTGAAGGAACATGGCATCGTGACTGTTTTGTTTGTGTGGTGAGTGATGCTATTATTACATGGCTTATTTATGATTTAAAGATAAATAAGTACTGACAATTAAATCCATTTGTTCTTGTTTAGACCTGTCATACTCCATTTACCGATTCATACTATTATGTGAGTGAGAATAAACCTTATTGTCAAACGCATTATCGACAATTCTTGGCAGGAACATGAGCAGTAGTTTCAGTAAAACAACCACAAGAGTGAGGGTTTAATGTGGCGTTCCTAATGTTAATGAATAATGAGGATGGATCTAGATATTTAATACATTGCTGGAGGGTCACTTCCAGTCAACGTCTTTAATTTGAATACGAACATTTAATATTTTTAAAAAGATTATTTCTATTTGTAACTTATTGAATCGTATTATAGTAATAATGTAAATGAAACATCAACCGTAATTTGGAATGATTAATAAAATAAATGAGTGCATAACTACCGAATATACTGGCTCTACTAACCCTTATTAGAATATTTCCTAAAATCATATGGATCGTCTTGGTTGTACCTATCATCTCTTGTCAACTTTTTGCCTGTATGATACTTATGACCATCAGGTCCAGGGTCATAGGCCGGCGGTGCTTCCCAATAGGGTGGCGGCTCATCGAATAGATTGCATGGATTACCAGGGGGTTGGTGTGGGTCCGTTACTGAGCGAAGTGGCAATGGACGAAAGTTCGGACGATGATTGCTTTGGCGACTAACAGGCGGAACATTGATATCGGAGCATAAATTCGGAGAATGTAATGGGCTGGATGAAGTATAGTTTGTAATGATAGGTTGAACAGAACACAGAGGCCGTACAGAAACCAAAGACGAGGAAGAAGTGTAACCTTAATAGTCATTATAGAATTGTTAAACCGCGTGAAATAAAAGATACGATTCACTCAGTAACTACCTTGCGCCTTCTCTTTACACGTCCGTGAACAGTATAGAGAATAGTCTCCTCCTTTACTATCCTTCCAACACGGCTTTACTAAACAAACTCGACACGTTGGTTTATCATCCGTTGCGCGATCTCCCTGTAGTGGCACCAAGTCACACACATGGTTTCTCCCTGTTTCTACTCTCGGTAACTGGTGACTCGCACTTGAGGAAGCGCTGCTGACCAATGACAAGGTAGTCTGGTTATGCATACTATATCTTGACGGCAGCGTTGATAACATTATTTGTGCATGTTGGCTCAACACGGGTGCAGAGTATCGTTGTGTAGGTGGAACTTGCGAAAGTGGTTGCCGACGACGAATGACTACCCCAGTTTCGGCTTTGTCTTTACAGGTCTTGCCACAATAGAGTAACCGTTGGTCATTTGAGAGTAATAGACGAGGCATTATTTTACAAAACAGGCACGGTTCAACTAGTCCTGTTTGAATAAAATGGCGTTTTTGCAAAAATTAAACGATAATCTTGCTGGAGAAAAAGTGGAGAGGCGAGACGTAACATACCTTTCCTTACAGCCTCTCTGCGGCAACTGTTCGAACAAAACTCTGCTGCCTGTCCAGTGAAGGAGTTTACGTGTACTGGGTTTATTTTACATACTGCACATTCTGCCGCCATTGGTCTTTAGCTATTGTAATATAGCTATAAATTTCCCGTCATCCCAAACCGTGTTATAAAATTGATATACAGTATTCTGTGGCTTGTGAAAAGTTTACCAAAGTTGTATATCGAAAATATCATCGCCACGAAAGTTTATAATGTGTACTACGTAACAATGCGCGCTAAACTGCTCGTGGACAAACTGATCAACTGTGCTTCTTGCGTAATATGATGATGAAACCCTAAATACTAAACTCAATTTCCAGCACTTAATATGTTGGGAATTCATATACTTTTCTATACAAAAAGGTACCATAGAATTTATTTTTACCATAAGAAAAACAAAGCGCTAAGTTATTTTCTGTTCTACACTACTTTTGCTTCTCTCAGTCAATAACCGAGTCATTTAATTACCGTATATATAATGTGATAACGGATATTCACTATAACGGACTAACTCGGTCCGACAGATCCGTTATAGCGAGGCTACACTGTAGTTGTCAACAAACGCGCATTAATTATCATCCGAAAGGTCTAGAATATGTCATTTACCACGTGACCAATTCATACCATGAAACGGAACTGCGATGTTTTCGATATCTAATAGTTCTTTCACAATACCCAGTGATTTTGGCAATTGCTTTTCGCAAAAAGCCTCTGATAATGGCTTTTGCGAACGAAAAATCACGCCAGACAAAAGAGGAGTTCCTGGACTGGTTGACCGAGACCAAAAAGTGGCCCGATGTGGCACAAAAGGCCGAGGAGTTTGAGTGGGACGAGTTGCTTTCCTTTGACAAGGGGATACGGAAAGAGAAATTTGGAGCAATGAAAGCTCGAGTTATTGTTAAAAAACTCTTGGGAGAAGGTAACGACTTTGTGACTCGGGCATTGGTGACATAGAGTAGTGTGTACATAGTGTAGGGTGTATCAATACCGAATACTTATTCTTGTGCTTTTCTTATCGTTAAACCCGCCCAAAAACACGTTCACGTTATCGTAGAGCAACCTGGTGCTGGTAAGTGAGCCGTAATAAACGCGAGTGAACGTACTGCTTTTTCGCCGTTACTTTTTAACGTGTGCATCGCTATTCCATTTTATTCAGAACAATATACAGTTGACACTGTTTATACCGAACTGCCCGGCTAAAGAGTTTTTGTTCACTATAACCAGAGATATCACGTGACCATGTTATTGTAGTAAATCACTCATTTATTCAACAATTATCCTTCAAAATAGTAGTGGAGGTCTGACTGCTTAAGACTTTTTTGAATAATTAATCCG